TCATCTGCTATTTTCGTTGTTCTCAACACGTTATTGAACAACTGCGTTAACTAGTCAATCCCAATCTTGTCCATGCACTTCCAAACCTCTATTGGGATACCATCTGGTCCAAAATCCTTTTCTATCTTCATCATTTTCGAAGCTTCTTTTACTTCCGAAATCCGAATCCTACGAATGTATCTATGATCTACCCATCATTTATACCAATTGTTCCTTCTACGGCTATGTTTCCACTGTGTTCGTCATTTAATAGTTTTTGAAAACAAACTCTTCACCTTTCATTGAACTTGTCATCCTTCACTACGACACTTTGATCCTCATTCCTACTGCATTTAATATGGTTTAGATCCCTACACTTGTTGTCTCTTATTTTTGCTAATTTGAAGACATTTTTTTCACCTTCTCTTGTTCCTAGTTTATTATATAGATTATCATATGCCTTAAATTTAGCTTTACTTACTATTTGTTTATTGTTTTTCTTAGCATTTTTATATTCTTCTAAGTTTTAATCATTCATATTACATTTCCAAGGTTTATAACATGATTTTTTTTTGCTAATGCCCTTTGAAGCTCATCACCTCACCACCAAGTTTCTTTATCGGAAGAAAATTCTCCCTATAGATTTTCCTAAAACTTCTTTCGCCGCTTTCTTAATATAGTCAATCATCTCATTCTATATAGCATTGCCACCATTATCAAAGTTTCATTTTCCTTCTTCAACTAATTTAACCCTAAATAAGTCTATTTTCTAAATTTTTAAATTCTACCACCTAATTCTTGGACACTCATTACTTTCACCCCTTCTCTTCAATATCTTTTATGCAGATGTCCATAACCACAATCCTATGTTGGGTAGTCAAACTCTTTCCTAGAATAACCTTGCAATCTTTACATGATGGTAGATCTACTTTTTTTACTAGGAAAAAGTCTATCTGGCTTTTATGTAATCCAATTTTATAGGTTATTAAATGTTCGTCTCGCCTTTTAAAGTAAGTGTTTGTTATTGCTAGGTCGTAGGCTCTAATGAAATCTAGAATAGTCTAACCAATCTCATTTCTTTCTCCAATCCCATATCCCCCATGTACCCGTTCATATCCTCTACTATCATTCCCAACATGACCATTTAAGTTCCCTCATAAAAAGGTCCTCTCTCCATTTGGTATGTCATTAACTAATTCATCTACGTCCCCTAATACAAGTTTAATTAATAGGAGTCTATCACCTATTCTTTTGACATTAACTACTTTATCTTTTAAATCTTTGTATATTATTAGGCCTATGCCATTTTATTATTATCTTTGCTTGTATACCAAACTTTATACCCATCTATTTCTTTAGCATTTTCTCATTTCCATTTAGTTTCCTATAGACAGACTATGTTACTCTCCTACGTCTTATTGTATCCACTAACTCCATACTCTTACCTGTAAGCGTTCTTATATTCCATGTGGCTAGACAAATCCTATTTTCTTGGACTAACTTCTTTACCCATGTTCCAAGATGTCGTGGGAACTATTGCCTAGTTTTCACCTCAATTGGGCGGGAACTGCATCGCGTCGCTTCTAGGGAACGCCCTAAGTAACCCTTGCTCATTTGTACCCAGGGTCTGGTACAACACGTCACTTCTAAGGAATTCCCTAGCTCATTCCTCACTGTACCCGGGTTCCGGTATTGCGCGCTGCTTATGGAAAATGCCCTAGCATTAACAGATACTTTAAATTTAATATTCATGATAAGTTTTAGCAAGATTTTATGTTGGCTGTTTACCTAACACAACCCAGCCCCTGTACTGGGGCATGAGACAGGTTAAGTGAACGTTTAAAGTCATTACCCTTCTTAGACCAATAAATATGGCTTTATGTATAAGAGAGATAAATTCTAATACATGCATGTATGAAACATTAACTTGAAATAATTAAAATATGTACGAAATAAATCATATTTATTATATAGTTTAAAGAAGGGTGGCGATTGTGTACACACCTCATACTATACAAGGATAGTGCATCTCTACATTTTGCTAAAAGATATAATTTTGGTGTCATAAGCCTTACAATGACTTAAAATCTATGTTCAACTTAATTATGAGATTTAACATTTAAAAATGATGCAGATTAAGCAAATCTATAAACACTTGAAAATATTCAACAAAGACAATCAAGATAACTTGTTAAGATGCATTGTTTTTAGGATTTTAAGGTTTGTTTTTTTTATCCATACATCATGAGGTCCAAATGATCAATTAGAATGTTTTCAATAAAAACTGCAACCCTATAATGTAAGCATGCTGTACACTATTAGTATAGACAAATTCTATAAAAAATGCCATAAGCAGAGAAAATTAAGTCTCAGTTACGAGTTGGAAATCCAAGTAGGGCCAACAAAATCAACATAAAGTTTCGAAAAGATTAAACGCCATTTCTTAGTGACTAGAACTACTTTTAGATTTGCGAAAAGATTTGCTTGCTCTAGTGGGAGCATAATGTAAATTTACTCCCTCA